GCATGTGTGGAAGACAATGGCTCTATCGCATGTGTGGAGGACAATGACACTATCACATGTGTGGAGGACAATGGCACTATCGCATGTGTGGAGGACAATGGCACTATCGCATGTGTGGAGGACAATGGCACTATCGCATGTGTGGAGGACAATGGCACTATCGCATGTGTGGAGGACAATGGCACTATCGCATGGGGGGACACTTATAGCAAGGCAAAGTGATGTATACAGCAGTTCTTTTTGCAACATATCAACTGATACTATTGTAATCATTTGTCACCTTACTAACTCTATTCTATAATAAAACATAGCACATACACAAAATCAAGTTTTGAAAAAAAAAAATTCAAATCGTTGTGCTAAGTATACCAATATTTAACTATAGCTTGCCGAACCCATGTAAGTTCTGGGCTTGAAATATGATCAGTACCAGTACTATCTGTGGGACTGCTTAGTGCTTTCATGTTCTCCAATGGACTTGTCAATGACTTCTGACTTTCTGGACTTGAAATTGACCGACTTGACATAGATGAGCTGCGACTAACTCCACACATACATTTTCGACTGACAGGCAGGGTATTACTCAACAATGAAAGTAAGGTATCATATTGTCGTTTGTTACCACTGTCTATTAATCGTTGTTGTTTGTCATCAATGCTAGCTTTGTTGTTGTTCCTTTCCATGTCTATTGAGAGAAAATAAAGATTCATATAAGTTAGAACAATATCTGAATCAAAGTGTGGAATGAGCTTGGAATACTTGATAAAATGCAGTTTTGTTTATCAAACACAGCATGTATCATATATATTTTGAATGGTTTATGTATGAAATTAATGGTTGTTAACTCAAAGAAGGTTGACCACAAAGATTGGTGTGAAATATGTTACCCCCAATCAAAAACAGTTTTTTCCTAATCACCAAAATTTTACACTTTACTGAGGTACTGTGACAGCATGCTACAATGAATCAAGTGAGACACTGTCACATCATGCTACAATGAATCAAGTAAGACACTGTCACATCATGCTACAATGAATCAAGTAAGACACTGTCACATCATGCTACAATAAATCAAGTGTGACACTGTCACATCATGTTACAATAAATCAAGTGAGACACTGTCACATCATGCTACAATAAATCAAGTGAGACACTGTCACATCATGCTACAATAAATGAAGTGAGACACTGTCACATCATGCTACAATGAATCAAGTGAGACACTGTCACATCATGCTACAATGAATGAAGTGTGACACTGTCACATCATGTTACAATGAATCAAGTGAGACACTGTCACATCATCCTACAATGAATGAAGTGAGATACTGTCACATCATCCTACAATGAATGAAGTGAGATACTGTCACAGCATGCTACAATTAATCAAGT